TAAAATACGCTATGTAAAAAAAGACCATTTTAAAAAAAGGTAGGAATGGAAACAAATCTGAGTGTAAAGGCACTTGCTGCTAAGCATGATGACCTGGGTTTGATACTCAGGACCCACATGGCAGAAGAGATCCATTCCTGCAAGTTGTCCTGACTTCCACATATGCAATGTAACACATGCACATAAATAAATAAATGTAATAAAAAATAAGGTAGAGAGGTGATTGCAAAAGGTTTCATAACATCAGCCTTTAGACTCCCAATGCAACTGCACAAACATACTCAGCTGTGTGTTTCACACACACACACACACACACACACACACACACACACACACATATATATATATATATACTACATGCAAAAAAATTAAGAAAAAGTCTTATCAATTATGAGAAAATGGATGAATGTTATGAGTAGTTTTCCCGCCAGCCTGGTCCCAGAGCCACATCAGCCCCAAATAACACACAGAGACACTGTATTAAATATAAATATAAATTAAATATAAAGCTGTTGGCCTGTTACTACCATTTCTTATTGGCTAGCTCTGTCTTAAATATTAACCCATTTCTATTACTCTAAGTGTTTTCATGTGGTCTTATCTTACTGGAGAGAGGGTCCGGATCTTCTTCTCTCTCAAGTCTCTCTACATGTTGAATCTCCTACTACATCTCCCAGAATCTTCCTTGTCTCCTAGTCCCACCTATCTTGCCTTCCTATTTGCCAACAGTGCTTTATTCATTAACCAATAAGAGAAACCTATTTACAGAATGGCATCTCCCATCAACTGGAGGTCATCAGATTAAGGAAATGAGCCCCAGTCAGACAGACAAATGTTAAAAATTTTGTCTCATTTGAAATCAATCTCTCTCCATCTCTCTCTCTCTCTCTCTCTCTCTATATATATATATATATATATATATATATATATATATATATATAACCATATATCATATAACCATGTGTATATATATGTACACACACACACATGAGAATGACAGGACAAAATAAGGGTTACTATTTGAAGAGAAGGAGGGGACCAGTAAAGAAAGAGGGACAAGAGAGGATAAGGGAGCATGGCTATGAGCAAAGTGGACAATATATATATTTGAAAATGTCATAGTAAAACCCACCATTTTACATAATGTAATTTTAAAAGAATATTTACAATTAACTAATGGTATCAGGAAAAATTTTTTTGTATTTGGAGAACTATAATAATTCTCACCACAAACTTTTGTGCATGTGACTGTGGGCATGTGCTATGTATGTCTGTCTGTAGAGGGTAACCTCAGATATATTTCCTTGAAACTGCCATCTTATTTTTTATCATTTTTCTGAGACAGGATTTTTCTGTGTAGCCCTGGCTATCCCAGAGCTCACTTTGTAGACCAAGATGGCCTCAAACTCACAGAAATACATGTCTCTCTACCTCCAAATGTACTAGGATTAAAGGCCTTTGCCACCACTGCTGGCTGCATCTTTTGTTTTGCTCTTGACAAAGCCAGGCTAGTTGGCTTCTGAGCTACCTGCTACTACCATCCTTCTACCCTGGAGAGTACTGGGATTATAGATACCAATCACCATACCTGGATTTGTGCAGATTCTAAGGATTCAAAACTCTAATGCTCAATCTGTGTGGCAATTGCTGTTAACCACTGACCCATGTCTCCAGCCTCTAAACGATTTTTATAATGCTTTAAAACTGTTTTAGAAAATGCTCTAGCCATGCTTGGCATTGCACACATTTTATCCTAGCATTTCAGAGGCAGAGGCAAAGGCAGGGTGATCTCTGTGAATTTGAGGATGGCGTGGTCTACATAGAGAATAGAGAATTTTAGGCCAGCCAGGGCTATATCGTAAGACCTTGTCACAGAAACAAAAACAAAACCTCACAACTTGATATTTCTATCGCTCAAAGAAAGTTACTACTAAAATGTCATACAATATTCCAGATTATTGTTTTTTGTAGTTGTTTTTAAGACACTCTCTACATAGACCCAGCCGTCCTGGTACTCTGTAGATATAAGAGTATAAGGCTGGCCTCAAACTCAGAGATCCACCTGCCTCTGCCTCCCAAGTTTTGAGATTAAAGGTGTGCTCCACTGGCCGACCAATGTTACAGGGTTTTTCAAGCATACAAACCTATTTTCTTTATTTTTTTTTTAAATGAAACCAGAAAGATTTTTTTTTGGTTTTTTTTGTTTTGTTTTGTATTTTTTTGTTTTGTTTTTCAAGACAGGGTTTCTCTGGGTAGCTCTGGCTGTCTTAGAACTAGTTCTGTAGACCAGGATGGCCTTGAACTCACAGAGATCCATCTGCCTCTGCCTCCCGAGTGCTGGGAGCAAAGGCTTGTGACACCACCATGGTGGCTGGGTGTGGTTAAAGTTAAAAAGAAATGGTCTGCAGAAACCCTGTCTCAAAGAGAGGAAGGAAGGGAGGGAAGGAGGGAGGGAGAAAGGATCTTTCCCCTAACTGCCTCTTTGAGCCCACCTCCCAGAAATAACTGTTAAAAGTATGACTTTTAGGTTCCCATCGCTCATCACAGACACCAGCCAACCAGCCGACTTTCGAACCATGGCCAACCTCGAGTGGATTTTCATTGCTATCAAGCCACGTGTTGTGCAGCGTGATCATCAAGCTCCTTGAGCCGAAGGGTCCCAGCTGGTGGCCATTAAGTTCCTCCAGCTTCTAAGGAACACCTGATGCAGCACCATGTTGACCTGAAAGACTGTCCTTTCTTCCCGTGGTTGGTGAAGTACATGAACTCAGGGCCTGTGGTGGCCATGGTCTGGGAGGGGCTCAATATGGTAAAGACAGGTCGGGTGATGCTGGGAGTGATCGATCCAGCTGATTTTAAGCCAAAGACCATTCGAGGGGATTTTTGCATTCAGGTTGGAAGGAACATCATTCATGGCAGTGATTTGGTGCAAAGTACAGAGAAAAAGATCTATGGTTTAAGCCTGAATAAATCTATGGTTTAAGCCTGAATAACTGACTGACTGATGACAAGCGTTGTGCTCAAGGGTATATGAGTAGAGGTGGATAACTGCGTCCTTTTCAGCATTACTGATGGATCCCTGGACACAGCTCTTCATGCCACAGAATGAATGGATCATCTTTCCTAAAACAATACTTTTAAAAAAGTATGACATTTACACTCTCCTACCTCACTTCTCTTTAATATATTAAGAGAGATACACAAAACAGATTATGTGTATATTCTTACTTTATACATTTCACAAAAACAAAATCAGGGTGGGGACTAGTGGCATTCACCTTTAATCCCTGCACTTAGGAGGGAGACACAGATGTACCTCTGTAAATTTGAGGCCAGTATGGTCTATACATCGTAGAGTTTTGTTGTTTGGTTTTGTTTTTCTCAAAAGCAAAAACAAACAGAAAATCACATGGAATCGCCATCAGTGCCTGACCCCCTCAATCCCAGCACTCAGTAGGCAAAGGCAGGTGGATCTCTGTAAGTTCGAGGCTGGCCTGATCTACAGAGCAGGTTCCAGGACAGGCTCCAAAGCAATTCTTGAAAAAAAATGAAAACAAAAGAAACATACAAAATACCCTCAAAATGTACATATACTTTTGTCATTTGGTCCTCAACATAGGCCCACAGAAAGAAACTAAAATTTAGTTAAGTCATATAATAAATGGCAAAATAGGACTCAGCCTGTGATTTGGTTTCTCAGGTATAAATCTCAAAAAGTTACTCAGCATATTTTCCCATGTTTAAGTTTTATTTACATGTTTGGGGGTTTTGTCTGCATGTACATCTTCACACCAAAAGAGTGCACTGGACCCACAGAACTATGGCTAGAGGCTGTGAGCCACCATGTGGGTATTGGGACTTGAACTCAGGACCTCTGCAAGAGTAGCCTGTGCTCTTAACGATGTGCCATTTCTCCAGTACCCCTCACTGAGCATTTTAACAGACATATCAGATATGACATAACAGTGATTCCTGCATAATCTCAGAACAAAAGAAATGAAAAAGGGACCCAATTATGAATTGCCACATGAGATGGTGCTTGAAGCAGCAGTGGCAGCAGGTGGAACTTACAGGTGCTTCATTTGGGGGCAAAGAAATGACCACTAATTCAAAGTGAACTACGGCGGATGGTACTACCCCCAGACTACACCCTCTTCCCTCAGTTACATCAGGGAAACTGTTTGGTGGTTCCCATTCTGGAACATTCCATACAAAAGAGCGGGCTTTTCGTACTCGGGACAAACTATTACACTTGGCGATACAACTTTTGAAACTTACTTAGATTATTTATTTATTCATTTGTGTATAGATTTTTTTTTTGGTCTGTTTTCACTCGTGTTTGTTTCTCTCTTCAAGAGGATTTCAATCCTACCAACAGTTGGCTCCTATTTTTTTCTGGTAAGCAGGGGGCACTCCCTAACCTCCCCCTGCCAGTCCTGGAAATTGGAACGGTCCAAGAGCAAAACTCGCGAGATGTCCAAACGAGACTTGGTTCTTGCCAGTCCTTTTGTCTGGAGCTGTCTACCTGAGAGCAAGGACTGGAGTTTGTCTTGTTCTCTGTCCCATTTGGTTGGCAGGCTGGTCTTGTGGCAGGTGTGTTGGAACTGTACCTCCTCTGGCCACTAGCCGGAGAGGTGCGTTGGAGGGGGTGGGGCGTGTCCGCGAGAGATATAAAGCCTTCCAAGGAATCATTTTTTTTTTTTTTTTTTGGTGTTTCGAGACAGGGTTTCTCTGTGTATCTCTGGCTGGCCTGGAACTTACTCTGTAGACCAGGCTCACCTCAAACTCAAGAGTTCCACCTGCCTCTGCCTCTCAAGTGCTGGGATTAAAGGCGTGCACCACCATTGCAATGCTCCACGGAGTCCCTTTTCAATAAGGGTAGCTAGTAGGTCACAGAGGAAGGGAGAGCTAAGGTTCTGATGGGAGGCTTAAGGCATAAAGTTGTGCCAACAAAGACCTACGACAGATTTTTCTGTTCTTGCAGTGTCAGCGAAGTCATCATGAATCCCGAGGATCCCGGTAATGGGTTCCGGCATGGCAAGGTTTTAATGTTCATCAATGAGCAAATGTCCAAACACACAAAAGGCCCCGAGTTCTACGTTGAGAACGTGTCCCTGTCCTGGGAGGAGGTGGAAGAAAAACTGAGACTCCTGCTGGAGGATAGTGAGATGACTAAGGAGGCTCAGGAAGCCTGTGCCTGGAGCAGCCTCGCCTTGGGTGTTCGCTTTGCTTGGAGGCAAGGCCACCTGCAGGGACGCAGAGTGCAATGGCTGCACGACTTCGCCTGCCTGCACCGGTCAGCGGCACATGCCTTGGCATCAGACCTGAAGAAACTCACAGACCAGCAAGAGATGGAACGCAAGGAGGCGGCCTTCCAGCTTCAGCTGGCCCACACCAAACTGGCAGAGGTGCAGAGAGAGCGGGACCTGATGAGACTGAAGTTACTGCATGCAGTAAGATTACCTCCTAACCCAGTCTTACCCTCACCCTATGCCCATTACCCAATTCCCAGAATTTGTCTCAACCCTGCCCACTTCTCTCCAGGAGCTGAGGGCCTTTCCAGTTGGAGAGGTGCCAGGACTGACTACAGCCCCTGTTACTGCTGGAGGGGCAACGGCAGAGACAAAAACTGTAGGAGGGGATAAAGAGGTGACATCTAGCGATAGAGCAGCGCTTGAACCGGAGAAGCAGGTGGAGGGAGCTACAGCCACGGCAGCCACAGGACAGCTAGAAGGAAACATCCTGGATCAGTTTGGAGCTGTGGAGTGGAAAAACTATCCCTTGGGCTTGGAGGGGGAGGGGGCAGGGGAGGAGAAGAAAGGAGAGGAGGTGAAGGACGGGGACGGGGAAGACAAATCTATGGAAACACCTACATGTTCTGATTCTGTGTCCTTAGATCACACGTCCACAACCTCCCCACAACCTGTCACTGTCCAACTCCCTGCCCCATTCACATACTCCTATGAAAGCCCCTTTCCTGTCACACCTACCCCCTCACCACCACCAAGCATCCTCACAGAACCACAGATGCCTCCCTACTTCATGGCCACTGATATGAATATGTCTGACACTGAGGGCCCAACAGTATACCTCCAAGAACCCCCCAAAGACAGCCAAGATAGTGGAGTCCAGCAGCAGAGCAGTGTGGCACTCTGCAGATCGGGGAACTGGGATTGCCCTTGGTGTAAAACTGTGAACTTTTCACAGCGGGAGAGCTGCTTCCACTGTGGGAGGCGAATGTGGCTGGCAAGCCCTCAGTGACTTCAGAAATGTGATACAGAAAATTCCTGTTAGGAAATCAATTGTCAGAGGTTGGAGAATAGGAGCGGGGGTTGCATGGTAATGGGGAAATGGGATGGGTACAAACGGTGTGGGGAGGGACAAGTTTTCATGATTTTTTTTTTTTTTTGTATTCCAGATCATTAGTATTTGACACACCTAAACTGCTTCTCCGTGTGTGTGTGTGTGTGTGTGTGTGTGTGTGTGTGTGTGTGTGTATCCCCCAACTCCCTAGTGTTTAGTGGGCCTAAGCAGCTAAAAATAGTCCTGAGCCTGAGTGGTTATTTGATCCATTTTGAGCCAAAGATTTTTCAGGCTGGAAGATATAATGAGAACATTCAATTGTCAGGATAGTTTGAGGTAAAGAGCCAGTGATCACTGAAGTTGGGGCCAGGGTCACAGGCAGTGATCCTGGAGGTCACAGTCCATCCCTGGCCCTGGCTAAGGTAGGGAACAGAACTGGCTGCTTTGCAAATAGTTTTAGATGGATGCTAGACACTCTGAGGAGCTGACAAATAGGAAGAGACTCAGAGGAGTGGATCAGCTGACTACAGAGAACTCAGCTAGATTTCATCTCTTTGCAGTTGTATTACACAAGGTTCCAATTTACCTAGATCCCTTCTTTAAGCTAAGAAGCAGGTTCGTTCCTGTTCTGAGCAACTAGATCATTCTGTCATCAGGCAATTTTTCTTGTATATCTTGATTTTTCAACAACCAAGGTCTCATGTAGCCCAGAGTGGCCTCAAACTTAAGATGTAGCTGAGGATGACTGACTCCAGATCCTCCTGCCTCCACTTCCTAAGTGTTGAGCTTATAGGTGTGGATTGCCATGCCTGGCTCAGAAAAGTAGTTTCAAAACAAAGCACCGTTAAAGAAATGTAATGGAATTGGCAGGGGAGTTGAAGAAGTGAGTAAAGTAGTGAGGATTCCTTTATCCCAAGTCTCCAGGAATGAACGGGGCAGGATGCCTATGTTCTGAGGGAATTCTATTACCAGAAACAGGTGTTGTTCCCAGGAATGAACTGTCGAGGAGGCGCCAGTTCTGTGAGAGTAATATGACAAGAAATTAAACAATCAAATGAAACCTGGGATGGGTTAGCCTCAGGTTTATGCTTGACTCAAATTAACATGGCAGAGATTTGTTACCCCTATGAGAACTCCGAGAGATTGTGGAGAATGCCAGCACCAGATGCAAGCAAGGACTTCTGTGACGGTACAGCCTTTTAACAGAACTCCCTGGTCCCCAGTGGGCACAACCATGGACAGGTCTGAACAGGAATCTCTACTGGTCTAAGGTGAGTCAGCCTCTGATAGGACACAGAGGGTTTGCCAGTCTATGTGAGCCAAAGACAGTGTGGTCTGGTGGGATTCTCCCTTCCAACTCGGCAGCATGCTACATGAAGGAGAATGTGGATTTTAAAGGCTCTCGTGTATTCTGAAATGGAAAGTACAACAGAACCCTGTCTCAGTGGGGGAAGGGACTGCAGAGGATGGTGGGAGTCGGGGGACAGTAAGAAGCAGGAGGGAGATCAGTCTGCTTCAAATGTGTTGAGAGGAACTATATATGTGTTTTAGGTAGGAGGACTGTACCTGGACCAGACTGAGCCACAACTAGAAGAATGCTGACAATCTCCTAGAGACTATGAACCTGGAGAATAAGAAGCCATTTTGGCATGGGACACCTGTAACAGCAGAACTGTGACTTTGCATTGTCTGTTGTTGGTGACAGTACAGTTATCTTCTGTTGCAGATTTCCAGCCTACACTTTGAACATTCTTTGGGCTTGTTTATCTCAGTCTACTGCAGGGTTTCCTAAACTCATTGCACTTGACATCTGAATTTGGATAGCTCTTTGCTGTGGGCTAAGAGTTCTGTGCATTGTAAGGAGTCTGTAGAGCCCTAGCCTCTACCCACTGTGTGACCCACTCCCCCTACCCCTTCAGTTTTGAAAACCAAAACTGCCTTGCATAGTGCCCCATGTCCACTAGAGGGCAAAAACCCAACCTGAGTTGGCTTATCAGGCAACGAAGTGCTTAGCCATGTGAACAGGTGGAGTCAAAAGACAAGGCTGAAGCTGGTTGAAAAAATGTCCACTGGGTCTGGTGTTTATTTTGGATCTTTAAAAAAAACTGAGGGTGGTGTAAAGCCAAACTGCCAGGGCTGAGGAGTGAGGGTAACTTCAACAACAGTGGTTCTCAACTTTCCTAATGCTGCCACCCTTTAATACAGTTCTTCATGTTGTGGTGACCCCTAGCTATAAAATTATTTCGTTGTTACTGCATAACTGTAAGTTCGACACTCCTATGAATTGTAATGTAAATATCTGTGTTTTTCAGTGGTCTTAGGTGACCCCTGTGAAAGGGCTATTTGACTCCACAAAGGGGGCTATGAAGAGCCACTTCTCTACAAGGACTAGGCTCTGAAAAGAAGTGAGATACAAGGTTAAGAAAGGGCTATTTTGTCACTTAGCGAGCATGCTTGGGAAAAGATATTTGGGTGAAATATCTGACAAGCACTTAATAAAGGCAGTACTTTTGTAAAAATTTCCTAAGAGAAAACATTGCTCCCTTCAGGAAAGCACCTTAAGACCCAGATGCTCTAAAGGCAGTCTTGTTGGTAGATACTTGAGCCATTAAAGGCAATAACAGAGAAAGCTCTAAATGCAAGTAGAGGAAAAACGAGCTTGTGTACTTACTGTAAAGTGGTATGGGAAGCCAATGGTATTAAAAGAAAAACAGTATAATGAAAGGGATCATTTTTGTTTTGTATAAAATAAAAACACTTAAAGTTCTTAGATATGTAGTATATGTATGCTATATGGAACTATGTTATTAACTTTGTATTTTATATCTATGCAGTTTGCATTTCAGTATGAATTTAAAAGGTATGGAAGGACATTCAACAAACAAGATTATCAGGCAGGGAACAGAAGGCAGAGTGGAGTGGGATATAAGACAGAAGACAGGAAGTTTGAATAAAAGGTTTTTCTTTGTGTACCTATGTTTTGAAAGTAATGAGATGTTCACAAAAATTAAATGAAATTAATTTACTCACTCGAGTTTGGAAAGGCTGTTTCTTCCTTGGGGATGAGAGGAAAAAAGGACAGCAGACCTGGTATCTATGGCAAAGGGGTGGGACTCCAGGTGGCCAGGCTGCGCACGCATGGGGGGGGGGCAATGAACCTGCAAATGAGTGAGGACCGAAGTCTAGGGCAGTGAGAGGCCATGACTTGACCATCTTAGGAATAAATGAAGCATAGAGAGGAGGACATGGATGGAGAGAAAAGGATCATCAAGCTGAATGGACTAGCACAGGACCAAACTGAAAGGAAACTTAGACAATCCGAGTCTGGTAGGAAAAAATGGATTGCTGCTCTAAGACTAGGAAGGGCACCTAGCACAAAATCTACGAGCATTCCAACCTACCCCACTCTCATTGTAGCAGAAAAGGCACATCTAAAGGAGAAAAGGAGGGATGAAGCAGTTCTTAGCGTGAACCATTTCTATCCATTCGGGGCTTGTAGTATCTTCCCATGTGCTGTCCCACTGTAGATGGATAAGCTGAGTCCTGGCTATATTTTGTTGTCAGTTCCAGTCTCCTGGAATTCTAATGCCTGGGAACCCAGTGTTTATCTTTAATGCCTTAAGAGTTTAAAGCAAACTTCAACTTACTTCAAGTCTTTGATTTTACAGCATGGACTACAACAGTGCTTGATAGAACA